ACATGTAATTCTAGCTCCTTCCCCAGGTTTGGGAAATTCTCAGCTATTATTTCTTTGAACAAGCTCTCTGTTCCTTTCTCCCTCTCTTCTCCCTCTGGAATACCTCTGACCCTTATGTTGCATTTCCTAGTTCAGTGGGATATTTCTCAGAGAATTTCTTCATTTTTTTTTTAGTCTTAGTTCTCTCTCCTCCTCCATCTGAAGCATTTCTATATTTCTGTCCTCTATAATATCAGCTCTGTTATTTAAGGACTCCAGATTTTTCTTTATCTCATTCATTGTATTTTTCACTTCCAACATTTCTGATTGGTTTTTCTTTACAGTTTCAACCTCTTTTGTGAAGAAGTCTCTCCATTAATTAATTTTATTCCTGATTTCATTGAACTGTCTTTCTGAATTTTCTTGTAACTCATTGAGGCTTTTTTATGATAGCTATTTTGAATTCTCTGTCATTTAGATTGTAAATTTTTGTGCCTTCAGGATTGATTTCTGAGTGTTTGTCTTTTTCCTTCTGGTCTGCAGTATTAATATACCTCTTCATACTATTTGATGGGGTGGATTTGTGCCTTAACATAGTGATAGTATCTGGTCACAGATTCTACCTGCTGCCAGTGGAGGGGTCAGGAGCTGTGTATTGTGAGCCCACCATGATCCCTGCCAGCTGTGCCTGTCTGAGCCTAGGCTGCTCTTTGGGACTGCAGCAGCCCTGTGGGCTCTCCCACCTAATGGGAAAGTGATCACACGAGGGCTCAGGGTTGCCACCGCCTGCTCCCACAGTCCTGAAGCATGCTCCCATGGTCGGGGCCACAGCAGTACTATGGGTGTCCTCGGCAGCCAGGAAGTCATTTGCCCATGCGCGTCGATTTACCACTGCCTCCTCCTAGGTCTCAGTGGCCATTGTGTTTGGTGGGCTGGGCCTCCCCACTGGTCTGAGCCTGGGCCACTCCCTGGGACTGTGGCAGCACTCTGGTCTTTCCCACTGGATGGGAAAGTGATCATGTGGGGGCTCAGGGCAGCCATCACCTGTTTTGCAGTCCTGCTGAGGCATGCTCCCACCCTCAAGGCCATAGCGGTGCTACGGGTGCTCCATCTGGGAGAGCAGTTGCACACATGTACAGGGTTGCTGTGGGGTCGGCGAGTACTCACCTATCTCTACCACCTCCCTGGGGATAGTCCATCCACTTTCAGATGTATAGCTGTGTGGTTCTCTCTGGCATCCTGTGGTACTCTGTGGGTGTCTTCCATGAATCAATAAATGTCCATTTAGTTGTACTTTGGAGGGGGAGGGGTAAAGGGAACAGCTCACTCTGCCATATTCTGACGCCACTGATGTATAATCTTACTCTTGAAATGGCATTGAATACTGCTTTGAGTGTTCCATTTTGGTTTTCTACTTTTTCTACTTCTAACTTTTCATTAGCCAAAAATTTTCTTTAGCAAGTATCACCGTTAAGATTCTTGGATTTGTGTAGTAATTTTCCTCTCATAAAATTCACTCATTGTAAGTGTAAAACTTACACTTACATTTAAAAATGACTTTTGATAAATCTATAGTGTTGTATGTCTATCAATTTGATAGATCCAATATGAGAACATTTCTATTGCCCCCAAAATTCCCTCAATCCTCTTTGTGATCAGTTAATTACATTTTGAATGTAATAAGTTGTTGATTCATGTACTTCAAATACTTCATTATTAAAAGTATGATAACATATTGTTGGATAGAAACTTGAAGAATGTCAATCAAAGTCCTTTATAAATGTTAGGTTCTGTAGTTTGAGGTACTATAAACATATTAGATTACAATCAACTTTTGTTCACATCTGTTCTCCATAGACGATTTGACATAAATGAACAAATGTACAGCTGATTTCTTCCTTCATGTATTTTTCTCCTTGGGGAATGCTCTTGTGTTGTTCTGGGTGGTTTTTCAGTTTTAAAAAATTTGATATATGGAAAAAATTTCAAATATACAGTTGCTTTTGTAGTTTTATGTGGCATTCTCAGTAGGACTAATTTCTGAGAGAATAGATCATATAGAATAGGATGAAGAAAGGAGTGGGAAATTAGACTGTATAATTATTCAATTAAATATATAAATACTGCATTGTGATTTATTTCCTCTATCAGTAGTAACTAAGAGATTTGTTGATTCATTCTGGTATTAAATTTCTCAAACTTTAGGATAATATAACAGGTGTTTAAAAAGCTTTTTCTGTCTTTTCCACCACTTCATATTGAGGTATGAAGTATATTTTATATTTTAAATATATATGAGTATATGTGAAGTTATATATATTATATGAGTATATCATATACATTATTAATTACATGGTAATTAATTGGGCTTCCTGGAGTGGGTTGAATTTTTAACAAACTTGAATTAGTAATTCATGCTTTAGTGTTGACTATAAGGTATGGAAGTACAGATGTATCTTGAGTCGAATTAAATATTTCTGTGAAAAGAATAACATCAAGTGTTTGGGAGTTTTGGAAACGGAAATAATCCCTGGCTAGTTACTAAGTCACTTAAGAGCAAAGCTGTATCTTCTCTGTGTTGTTAAAATATTTACTCTGAAATTATTGGTGGAGCTCATTTTTATTGCAATTTCTCTGTTGCCATGTACTTTATTACCAAGGTTGCCATCAGAACCAGGAATGATGTTACTCACTATCAGAATTGAGAAAATCGGTCTGAAAGATGCCGGGCAGTGCATTGATCCCTATATTACAGTTAGTGTAAAGGGTAAATAACTGTGTCTACATTTCCCCCCTCTGGTGAATTGTATAATGTTGCTTCTCATTTGGGACATTTGGGGCAGGGAGTGAGGGGGGCTCTTGTATCTATGATGACTCATTTAGTTCATTCTACAATGAGGCAAAATCCCTGAGAAGAGGTAGTCCTTCCTTCCTACACATCTCTGAGAGATTTACTGAAAATGCTTTGCTGTTTATACCTTACCTTCACATTTGCTTCTGACTTTTTCTTTGTATATGTCTTTTTATTCTTAAAATTCCATCAGGCTGAGGCCAGCTCGGTGGCATAATGGTTAAGTTTGCACGCTCCACTTCAGTGGCTGGAGTTTGTGGGTTTGGATCCCTGGCCCGGACCTACACAGCACTCATCAAGCCATGCTGTGGCGGCATCCCACATCCAAAATAGAGGAAGATTGGCAAGATGTTTGCTCAGGGCCAGTCTTCCTCAAGCAAAAAGAGGAAGATTGGCAACAGTTGTTAGCTCAGGGCCAATCTTCCTCACCAAAAAGAAAAAAAGAAAAAGAATTCCATTAAGGGTGCTGACTAGACAAACACATTGTCTTTAACAGCAGATCCATCCTTCAGGGAACAGGTTAAAAAAATGTCCTCCACCTTCCAAGGGTATGTGGTTTTCTCCTGTTTTCCCATACCTCCACTGCAGGCCCCCTCGTCCCTGTCCAGGAGAGGTTTATACCCAGGAGAGCCCTCGAGGAGGATCAGAATCAGGGCTTCGCTGAATCATCAGTGGAGACAGGGAGATAGGACGCATGTGTCCACATCCACACCCTGGACACAGGCCTGTGGGGCATTGAAGACATGATGTATCTCTTATCCTTTACTATGTTACTGTGGTTATTAAGCATGATTATCTTAAGGATTTTTTTTTTCTTAACTATCCAATGTGGCAAACCGTTTATTCCTAAAAAAACTTTTCCAGGCATTGGTTTAAGAGGGAAACCACAGGGGTTGAATTATTCTGTTGTTGCCAAGCATTTTAGACAGCACTGTGTTTGCAGAGCCCTCAGCAGTCTTTTAAAAAGAATTCTGAGGTGGCTGCAGATGCAGTTGTCATCCTCTTACTCAGAAATAACAGCACAGCTAATCCAGTCCACAGTTAACCTGCAGTTTGAGGCAAATCAAAGAAACAGATATGGACTGAAATTAAACGTAGAAAACTTGTACCAATCATAGCAATAAATTCAGACCCATGGGCACATTAGTACCAAATAACAGGAAAAGGAATTTGGCCACAGGGGAGACTTTTAACGTGGAGAGACCATGGTCTCCAGCACTAAGGCTTTGATGCTTTAACTTCTGACGTTATCGCTTCTCAAATCCATAATCGACTGGAAAGTATTTATACCCTTTGTTGTTGCCATTTGCAGAACTGCGGATCTCATTCGGGAATTACACATACGACACAAAAGTGTGATGATGATATAGGGGTAGGTGTAGGTGTCATGTTACCTTTGCGTACACGTTGACCTGAAACGTGTTTTTGTGTAAATATCTTTAGAAGCTGGAATAGTCAAATGTACTAACCTGGTTTAAGTTCCCTAAGATGGGTCTGTGGAATAATGCATAAACACCGAGTAGTCCCTGAGTCAGTCCATGGTGAATTTGATTAAACTGGAAGATTCCTGGCTCCAGGAAATTAAAACCATACACCAGACATGGGACCATCTGGTTGTTGTAAATCAGGTTGTGTTGTAGCAAATGTAACCAGAATTTAGGTAATACATATAAAAAAGTATTCATTTCTGGGAAAGTTTCATTGGCAGCTGTCATGCCCTTTGTTTGGTCCTCTGACTTGAACACAACAGGGGGATTCTGATAACGTTAGATGTGAAGGCCTTCCATGCCGTGCACTTGATCAGGGTGGAAAGTAGGGGTAGGGGCCTTATTGTGGAATATTATTCACATCCCAGATTTTTATTGCACACAGAAATATAGCGGCCTATTCCTTAAGTAAGACAGAAGCTTCTTTTCACCTCTTAACTGTAAGGACCGAATTTTGTCATCTTCAAGCTTCCTTTGGTACCCGGTCATGGCAAGGTGTACACCTCCCATCCATGGGGCCTCCACCCTCTCTCCTCAGCTCCCTCCACGTCCCTCTGGAACCAGAAGCTCTTCAGGCGCCTGCTCACACCAAATGGGAGAGTGTTAGCTTGAGAATCTCCTTGCATTTATAGTTTTTGAGTTTGTATGTTTGCTCCTAAGCAGAAACTTTTTTTTCTCTCCAGATCTGAATGGCATAGATTTAACTCCTGTGCAAGATACTCCTGTGGCTTCAAGAAAAGAAGATACATATGTTCATTTTAACGTGGACATTGAGCTCCAGAAGCATGTTGAAAAATTAACCAAAGGTTTGTAATTGTAAATAATTGGCTTCTTGTGGCCAGAGTTCCCAGCTTATCCGTGCTCGTGTTCCTGGTGGAGCCCGCACGCTTGGCGGAAGTAAATGTCTCATGGTGTTTATTGATTTGAATGAAATATATGTTTTTTAAAATGTGGGATTAGGAATCATGTTATCTAGTTATATAATAAATAACACCATTATGTAATAAAATGTTCTTTGATAGTAAAGATTTATCATCGCTAACAACAAAACAGAATGAAAGTTTTTCTCATACTAAAGAGCTGGGGGAAGCAGGGTTCCCGAAGGCTCCCAGGTTCTAGTAGTTGAAAGAACATGTTGGGGGTTTTTCTAGTTGGATTTATTGGGTAGAAAGATACCATCACTTGCAGTTAGTTGACAGGAGGATGGGAAAGGACACAAGCAAATGTTTGAAAAGGTGAAGTTACATTTTGAGGTTAAACGGTTCTTAGGATGAAATGCTTCTTTGTGCCTTTTTTTTTTTGTGAGGAAGATTAGCCCTGAGCTAACTGCTGCTAATCAGCCTCTTTTTGCTGAGGAAGACTGGCTCTGAGCTAACATCCATGCCCATCTTCCTCTACTTTATATGTGGGACACCTACCACAGCATGGTGTGCCAAGCAGTGCCATGTCCGCACCCGGGATCCGAACTGGCAAACCCCAGGCCGTTGAAGCAGAACGTGTGAACTTAACCACTGCATCACCGCACCGGCCCTTCTCTGTCCCTTTTGCCCAAGAGGAACATCAGTGTTCTGAAGAGAAGACTTCAGAATCCCTTTATCACCTGAGATTCAGTTGCAGTTATGGAAATTTTCAAGCTCTACTGGAAGCTTGTACACAATATAGAAAGTGCCTTTTGAACAATTGCCACAACCTCTAAAATATTTGACATTTTCCTTCTCAAATCTGGTGCTGCTGCCTTCTCTGTTCTGCCACTGAAGGGCTTGCTTGCTCTAGTGCCCCTGTGAGCGTGCAGTTTTCCTCTTAAATTTCTTCTACTCTTGATGTGAAGTGGATGGACATATAGACGGAATTCTCTTCCTTTTTTCCTTCTATTTCTTATGAATTTTGAAAGTCATCTTTGTTCAAAGATCCTTATCTTTCTAAAGTTTTGTCTTTTACTAGGTTATATGAAGACCTGTCGTTTCACAGTGCAGGCTTTGCTTTTTGCAGGGCATTCTTAGTGGACCAAATAAAGCTGTGACAAGCCGTGGTCGAGGTGTCAGTGACATCATTCCATCACAGAACTGCAGAGGCTGGGAGAGTATAGTCTAACAGGAAAGAATACCAGCCTTTTATAGTTCTGATCTAAAACTTCGTAAAATGTGCTATAAAGTTACTATAATTTGAAGACTCTAATGAGTTCTTAAGAAACATTGTTTAAAAGACATGGTGTAGTAATGGGAATGGGATGGCTTTAAGTATGGTGTGATCCCAGATTCCTAGATGTGTGAGTGCTAACATTCAAATATTAATTCTGTAGTTATCAACGGACAAAAAGAACCGAGCATGTTACAAGCCTTACAATCTTAAATCATTCTTTCTCATATTATACTCTTCTGATCTTTTTTGTTATATTGCTTTAAAATCACTGGCAAGGTATGGGAGAAATAATAGACTAGACTTTTTTAAAACAAATTTCCTTACTTTTATGGTCACAACACATCATTTTCATTTTTCTGTCAAGCACCCTTAATGCAAGAATGGTGAAAAGCAACAGAACAGCAGGTTCAACAAGTCCTGCTACTAATGGAAACGCATACTCAGGAAACCACCTCAACTAGGCAGTGAGAGTCACAAGCAAGCACATGAATGCCGTACAGATGGGCCCACTGGATTTCAAGGAAAAGGATGACGTCAGTTGTCGCGTTCCCAGGTGACTCTGAGGTTGCCCCTCCTGCGTGGTGAGCAACAGGGCTGCTGCCAAGTCACCATCTCCAGTTTTGGGGGCCTGAGTTTGCATGTTTCCAACATGGCACCCATCTCATGAGAAAAGAATCCAATGAAGCAAGAGACACTTGGGAAATATTAATAAGGAAATTTTTATGAACTATTACTACAGAGAACCTCAGCAAGAGGGGAGAGAGTGGCGTGATCTTTTAGTAAACATTTTTAGTGTAACAGTCTTCATGACCAGATATTTTAAAAACTCAAGCTTATAAACACTGTTGCTCTATATTCAACTGATGTACACTAAAAATAGGATAAATGGAAATACGTGTTCTTATAGCATTTCCACAGGAAATGTTATTTTTCATGACGCTCTAAATCATTTAGCAGTTACATATGCTACATTAATGAAACACAGGTATTCTTTATTGCACATTTCAAAGTTGTAAGAAGGTGCTAGATTCCGAGGTGGCTTCTATTTAGGGGGGAAAATGATATTTTTTAATTGTTTGGCTCAAAAATGCACACTGCCAGGGCAGCTTAGTTCTAAAACCTTTGAAAATAAACTTTTGGATTTTGAAGCCAATAAAATCCTTTACTGTAACCCAAGAGTGCACGGTTCACCTTCTCTTGGACGAAGTGTCAGAGGTCCCTTAGGGGCTGTGTTTTAAGGCTGATGAGGAGTCCTGGCCACTGCTCTGCGAGGCAGGCGGGGACTCATCTCGAGAGCCGGAAGGTGGTAAGTCTCTTGCAGCAGAAGGTGGATAATCCTGGGGGTCGTGGGTTGGGGGTGGTAATCGGGCACCAGGAATAAAGTATTCTCTCGGGACAAAATTGCCTGGAGGTGTAAAAGGTGCGTGTCCCGGTAAAAACTCTCGAGGGTCGACAGGGAGGTCCCCTTTTCCAGGTGGAACACCTGGTGCATATTCTCTTACGCCTAGTGGTGGGCGCGGACCAGGACCTGGAAAAGTAAAACACAAGTCATGTAAATACCTACAAACATATCTAAATTTAGATGGTTCCAGGTATGTTCGTCTTTAATTGCTCACAACCCTAGAAGTCAGGTGGTGGCATCCCCACTGTGTAGATGAGGCCAACTGAGGCTCGGCAAGTTGAAGTTACAGGCCTGTGGCCAGCCCGCCATGAAGCAACACAGGCAGGATTTAAACACGGCTCTACCAAGCTTGTGTTTTTTCTACTACACAGGTTTGCCACCTTTATCTCTCAAGAGCTTGGTTTGTACTTGGAAGTACCATGTGTCACACCAAGAGGACAAATTATGAAGTAACACTTCATAATCACTACAACAAAGAAATTTTGATAAAGGCAATTTCCATTATCTACTACTGTATCAAGTAAAAACTCATGCAGCAACTCAGCATGGACCTAACATATGCCATCGAAATCAAGGTGCTTACCCTAATTACACCTAATTAAATTCAGCAACATTCACTAGGCAGCTATGAAATTCCACCTTCTCTTTAACACGTCCTTCCCAGTTAGTCCCAGCTTGGAGAGTGACGGCTTAATCCCTGCCTCTTTTACACTCTCCGACCCACTGCTTATGCTTCCATTATGGTGATTATAAGCTTTATGTTGTGGTGTGTATGCATCTGTGTCCAACAGGACAATGTAAGCTCCTGGAGTCAGAAGAGGGACTAAGTTCTATCCACCCCAGGGCCTGGTACGTAGCCACAGATGCTCACTAAACATCTGCAGCAGCAGTGTTTCTGGCTTTCTGTAATAGCCCCTTTCTCCTTGTCTATGGAGATACCTACTGCCCATCTCGGTATAGGGACGTTATGTGGCATCCCATGTGTCCCAAGAAACTTGAGGAAAAGTCAAAGTGTACCCAGCCAGCTTGACCCTTTCACCGCACAGCCCTGTAACAGCAACTGTTAACATCTGACCAAGAAACAGAGAAGATGAGTACACTTTACAAGTCAGTTACCGCTGTTCTATCATCATACCGAATTGTGGGCCAAGTGGCCGAGGTCCAAAGGGCCCACAGAGCTGGGGAGGCGGTCCATGATGAATGGGCGGTGGAGGCCCGGAGAGTTGAGGCGGCGGTCCATAGTGCCTGGGCGGTGGAGGCCCAGACAGTTGAGGCGGCGGTCCATACTGACTGTGCGGTGGAGGCCCGGAGAGTTGAGGCGGCGGTCCATACTGATTGGGCGCTGGAGGCCCAGAGAGTTGAGGCGGTGGTCCATACTGCCTGGGCGGTGGAGGCCCGGAGAGTTGAGGCGGCGGTCCATACTGCCTGGGCGGTGGAGGCCCGGAGAGTTGAGGCGGCGGTCCATACTGAGTGGGCGGTGGAGGCCCGGACAGTTGAGGCGGCGGTCCATACTGACTGGGCGGTGGAGGCCCGGAGAGTTGAGGCGGTGGTCCATAGCGAATGGGCGGTGGGAGAGGGCCTCCCACAGGAGAGCCCATGAAGGGCACCCCTGGGAAACGAGGGGGCCCTTTTGTAGCCATATTCACCTGCAGAGCAGAAGCAATTAAAGTTCTGAAGTACTCTGGTATGACAGACAAAAGCACCAACACCAGTAAAAGCTGAAACCCAGGGAAGCAGATATCAGGCACTTGTCCAAAGAGCAGAACCAGTGCAACGAAACTGCACTTCCATTTGTTCCCACTGACAGACAGCTCAGGCAGGTGAAAGGGTGGCAGAGGAGTCAACAGTTTCACCGTAGTCATGTTATTGCTTGTACATGCAAGTGGAAGGGAAAGCAGGACGACTGCAAAGGATACTAATGGGGGTGATTCCCGACTAAACCCATACCATACACATCGTAATCTATTTCCAGAGCAACCCTCCCTTCCCACATCTCCCCATCACCGCAGTAGCTCATTATTTCCATACTAAGAACAGAGAGAACGAAAGGGAATGAAAAACCCCTTCTCTCTACATGTAGTAATAGCTGACATTCCGACTACCTTCAATTTCCTTTCACATACTGCCGCTCATTCTCAGATCTCTAAATCTCTACGTCTGATGTCTTGTTTTACATATGAGGGAAGAGAGAGAAAATAGGAGATGATGTGCTGATGGTCACACAGCAGGTAACAGGCCGAGCTGGAGTTCAACATCGGGTCCGATCCACATCCATGCTCTTCCCACCTCTGCCTCCCCCTCTAGCGAAGGCAGCTCGACTCTCAAGTCTTCTACAGGGGTCTTGGGTCTTATCCAAGCTGCCCCTGGATAAAAAGATCTCTCAAGAGATGTGTACTCCTGGAGTCCTGCACTGAAACTTGGAAGTTTTTTCCAACAAAAACAATGAATATGCAAGCGAGGCAGGCGCCGCTTTCTATCTACCTTCATTCACCAGTAGTACCGTACTGAACATTACAAGATACTGACTAATCCTTTCCTATGGGAATTGGGGTTGAAAATTCTAAATAATTAAAATTCACGTATTTTGATTTCAACATAGAGAAGCCCTGTGAGGTCTAATCAGAGGTCTTGCCAGCTGTAACTGCTGTGCAAGTTACAAGAGAAGACACTTACATGAGCATGATTTAAGGCTACTGCTGGGAACTGGCCCAACTACAGATGGTCACTATTGGGTATTTCACCTCCAGCAAACATTCTCCAGTTACCAATCTGTAATTTCAGATTATTCAAAATAGGGTCTGCCAAGTATGGAGATATTCTTAAATAGCGAGCTTCCAAACAAACATAGTAACAACGAGCCACACAATGCATCACGGCTCACCCTGCCTTAGACCACCCAACTCTGAAGCACACCGTGTCAAGCTGCAGAGGGGACTTTGCAGTTTGTGGTTCATTAGAAAGGCCGTTCTAAACAGGTTAATCACCTGACCAAAAGAGGCAAGAGCAGAAAACGACCAACCAACCAACCAGTCAGACTTCAGCAACCCAGCAAAACTTCCAAGCCCAGGCAACAGTAAGATCAATACTGCCATGCAGTCTAAAGAAAGCGGATCCGGGCCATGCTCTTCACGTCCTTTCCAGAAACAGCCCGCGTGACCAGCTCAGCCCTGAGCCTCGAAGGACTTACTGCTCCAGGAGGCTCAGCCAAAGATGTAATGCTGGGAACTGAAGGGCCTTCAGGCTCTTGGGGAACAGTTTGCTTTTTCAAAAAATAAATGAGAGAGTACAGATATAACAGAACACACAAACAGGAGATGGACGAGGCAAAGAGAGGGTGTTGGAGAAAAAGTGACATGTTTCCTGAAATACCGAATTCCAATCCAAAATGACTGCAGAATTTACCTTGCCCTCCTCCGCCACCTTGGCAGGGGAAGAGCTTCTCGAGCCGCTGTTCATCGTGGGAGCTGCGCCAGATCCTGCATCTGCCAAAGGCCAGAGAGCTGACTGAGACTCGTTCTGACTGAAATACTCTTTCAGGAAGAACGAGAAATCCTGTCCCCCTTCCTCCACGACCTCAGACTCTGTGAGCACACTCAGGGCCTTACCAGGGGCAGAGGGTTTTCCAGATGCCTCAGACGACCATCGAGGATGAGGGAGAGGCCCGTCCATTGACCCTTGAGAAAGAAAGAAGAGAGCCCTTGCATGGATTTTTCAGAAGAAACAGAACACCTGTGGACAGGTCAGGGTTCGACTCTACCCCGAAAGCAACATTAAAAATGGGTCTCCCAGTACACATGAGGGGAAATCACAATTCCTGCACAGACTCCAAGAATTAGAGAAGAGCTGCCGTGGACTGAGAGAACAGCAATAAAGCCCCACGTTAATAAAGCTGCTCGGGCGCTCCAAGCTACAGGCTGGACACAGCTGCACAGGGCGAGCTTCTTCAGCCCACATGTACACTGACTTTCATGTGTGATCAAGTACTACAGACATCTATGATGAGAAATAGACTTACAGCATCTCATATTATAATGAGGAGAAATTGAGGTATGCTGCATAAATTATAAAGTCTTAAGGCAACTTTTTAATATTTAAGAGAGAAACTCCATAGAAATTTAAGGATAAAGGCTTATACTTCACAGTAAAAAGTTCAAAAGAAGCAAAACCAATAATAATAAATAATATTTATATATACGTACTTATATATAAATATATTTTATTTATATATGTATAAGGTAATATTAATAATACCAAATAAATAAATGCTTTCTGTTCTAAAGCAGATCTCACAGTAGACTATTTATTCTCCAAGATAAATTAAGACATTTTCTTCTCTATACAGGACAGACCCAAATTCTAAAATGTTGTTTACATTAGAATTCTCAAATAAAAGGGGAAAAAAACTCTTGAAATAGTTTATTGCAAGGTAACACGTGAATGCTCACCAAATTCACTTCTAGGCATCTCTCTTCGACCGAGCGTGGCAGAGAGAGGTCGCGCGGGTGGGTCTGCTGTCAGTGGAGGGGAGCACTCTCCACCACTCACAGGAGACGGGCCATAAGAGCCATTCTGGCTCAGAGGACCTGGGGACCACAGTGAACCATTACCACCTGAAGGCAATCTTTGCTTTCTGAAGTTCCTGGGATTATTTCTAGGGCATTATAACCATTAAACACAGAAATAAAAAGTAATTTATAGGGGCCGGCCCCGTGGCCAAGTGGTTAAGTTCACGTGCTCCGCTTCAGTGGCCCAGGGTTTCGCCAGTTCGGATCCTGGGTGCGGACATGGCACCAGTCATCAAGCCATGCTTAGGTGGCATCCCACATGCCACAAGTAGAAGGATCCACAACTAAAATATACAACTATGTACCAGGGAGCTTTGGGGATAAAAAGTTGACTGCTGCCCTTTAAAAATGCTCCCCAGGACCAGCCCCATGGCACAGTGGCTAAGTTCGCACACTCTGCTTCGCTGGCCCAGGGTTTGCCTGTTCGGATCCCAGGTGCGGACCTACACACTGCTTATCAAACCATGCTGTGGCAGGCGTCCCACATAGAAAATAGAGGAGGATGGGCATGGACGTCAGCTCAGGGTTAACCTTCCTCAAAAAAAAAAGTGCTCCCTACCTCTCCGGGGAGCATTTTGCATGTTGGGTCTTCCTGGCATTGGTTTTACAATCACAGGTTCTTCCTGCAGCATGGCCATCTTTTGGGTCATTTCCAATAATCTTGAATATAGAGAAAGAATAGACTTAAATACGAAACAGAAAATCAATTCCTTATTAGATCCCACACAGCACAGCCTTAAAAAACTTCCAAATACACTGGAAAAACAAGTATCAAAATCCCATACTTGTGTCGCAAGTTAGAAGATTCTCGTTTCTCTTCAGCTATAGCTCTTTCCGCAGCACGAGCTTTGAGCTATTGGAGGAAAAAATACCAAATTCAGTTGTGGTAGACTATGCACAAAATAAACGAAAGGAAAAAAAAATCTTACCCAGTTATCATGCGCTCTCTTCTCGTGCGCAGCGAGCTGAAAAAGAGAACACATAAAAAAAATATGTTTAGGGATTCATTACAATAGCCATTTAATATTATAATCGTCTGTATTAAGATGCCAAAGAATTCTGCAGCTGTAGGGCAGTATAATTATTACCTGGTTTTTAAATGAGCGCTCGGTTTTCTGTAATTCATCTTCCATTTCTTCAATTCTCCGCCTAAGAATAACGATTTTATCAACCAAAGCACAACTCAATCAAATTTTAAACAATCTCACCATGTTCCCTTTACTCTAACAACTGTAACCTCATAGACTTCATCCATACATATAAAACATATTTTACATGGTTATAAGAGTAAAATACGATCAAAACTAATACTACGTAATGTTCTTATTTATCATTTAATGGCTGAAGAATCAGAGTTGGTATGTTATAATGTCCCGAACTGTTCTCCAATAAATTCTCAAATAATCCTGCTATGAATATCTTCCCCCATAAAGCATTTTCTTCCTGTAATTACATCTACAGAAAATTTCCCAGAGCTATGACAATTGGGTCTGTCAAATGGTACTATCATTTTAAAGGTTTTTAATACACCATATAGCAAACTGCCTTCCTAAAAGAATTATATCAATATATAAAACCACCCAGAACCCTTGGTAGGAACCAAGTTCCCTTATAGTCTTGGGTATAAGGAAATTTTTGTCAATTTAACATTTTTTCTTTTGTTAACTTAAAATTTACTTTTTCTCATGTGAATTAAATGTATTCATGCTTTTTGACCATTTCTTTATACTTCTATGCTATTTTATTCCACACAGTGTAAAACTCATTTTTAAAAGAAGTTGTTTCATCCGCCGCTGAGACCCTCTCCAGAGCTGAACTTACTTGTAAGTTTTCAATTCCTCGGCCGCCAGCACCACCTTCTCGTCTGCGACTGACAGCCGCTGCTCCTTCTCCTGCCGCTCAAACTCCTCCTTACTCAGCTTCCTAAGAGAAAATCAGCTGTCAAGCCAGTGTTTCTCTTTCTTCCCAGCAGTCTGTCTGAATGCCTCTACTCAAATGTTACCGCCCATCCTCTCTAAAATGCCGACACACCAAGTCAGAAAGAAACTCAAACCTGCCACTGAGGGGGAGAAAATCAGTCTCTGGCCTGTTGGCATACCCCCAGCACTTTCTAACTTCTCCTCACAGTTCTCTACTCACTAGTAAGTAAAACAAATAAATGTAAAAACACTATGCGCTCCACGGGCAAGTTTCTTGGGCTTGAGATGATGAAAGCTCATTTTACTTCAATGTGGAAAAGCCAGGGCCAATCAATGTAACACAATTAAGCTTAGGGTAAAGAGCGGATAATTCCTTCTCTTAGCTCTCCCATGGAAGGAATGCTTCCCAATCCAAGACTGGTACCATGATAAAGATGGTCAGCCCATGAAAGAGCATTTAGAACGTATCTTCTAACTTATACATCAGTTATAGTATATGTAACTGTATTATCTGTATGTAACCATACATAACTGTATATAACTTCTAACTGTGCAATCAACCACAGGACATTTCCACACTCAGATATAGAACTCCTGCTACCTATTCTCAACGGACTTGTGATTAAGGAAAAAGAATCGGCAATGTCTACTGAATAGAAAAAGAATCCAAACTGTCCCATAATCGAGGTATCATCCACTGGAAACTGGTTTTAACCCAATAACCTTCAAGCTCAAGATTTCAATTGACTCTAACATAGATGCGATGGTAGCAATATTGAATGGTTTAAAAATGCTATTTTCTTGTTATTCTTGTACTTCTTTACTCATAGCTCTGATTCAAAAGATACTTAAAACTTAATTTGCTATGAATCAGAATCAAAATGAGAAGAGCCATGGTAAAAAGAGCTGATAACAAAGAGAAAAAGCATATGTATTCGTTTATAACTGCCCATTCAATACTTCAGCAAATATTTAATGTGTGGCTGTAATATACTGGTCACGTAGAAAGATGCTAAGATAAAAAAAGTATGAGCAAAGTACTACCCCTGCACTAAGAGCTCACAGTTTAATGGAGAAAAGATGCACGTAACAACAGAAAATCCCTCACTCCAGCCGAGGAAGAGATGTGAGAAAACTGAGTCTTGAAGAAAGATCAGAGAGAAAATTTTGCTTCCAGTAAAGCCTGAGTTAGTCGGAGAACACTGAGAACAGCTAGAACACTGGACAAAAATATAAAGAATGTGAAGGCGTCAGAGACCTAACATGTCGGCTAACAAATGAATGTATGAGGCCAAGATCCAGTAGAGAAAGGAATTCCAGGGGCCAGCCCGGTGGCACAGTGGTAAGTCCGTGTGCTCCGCTTCAGTGGCCCAGGGTTCACAGCTGGGATCCCAGGTGCGGACCTACACACTCCTCATCATGCCAGGCTGAGGCATGCCTCACATACAAAACAGAGGCGGATGGGCACAGATGTTAGCTCAGTGACAATCTTCCTCAGCAAAAAGAGGAGGATTGGCAACAGATGTTAGCTCAAGGCCAATCTTCCTCACCAAAAAAGGAATTCCAGAACTACAACTAAGCCTGACATCTGGGTTTCCTGGGTTCATCCATGAATTGAAGACAATGCAGAGACATAAGGAGGCCGAGCAGAACTTCTAAGAGATCCTGGGTTCAAAGCAAAGTGAAGTGGAGTTCAAGGCTGCCAATGAGGGAGCTTCTAGTAAAAGCCCTAGGCTTGGGGTGAGACTAGAAAGAGCTGTGCACTTGAAGTGCCAAACAAGCAATACAGTGTCCTTTGAAGGGACAAGGCCATTTTTGAATGATCTTAATTGCTGATTGGATTAAAGTAATGGCAACAAGTTAGAAATAAACTCAATCTTTTCTGCAGGAAAACATTATCCTAGGCCTCTAATTTCCTCTATAATTATCATATACAATGTTCACCACTCAACCAAAACTGACGAGGCCCTCCACAAGGCATTGTGATCAAAATCTAAAAGACAAAAGAAACGGACCCATCAGGTATCCACATAATGGAATTATCGCACAGACTTTAAAAATATTGTGCCTTATATATTCAAGGAAGTAAAAGTGAAAACTAGGAATTTTAGTTCCTAGAAACTATAAAACTGAAATTAAGAACTCAGTCATTGATTTTAGCAGCAGATTTGACAACTCAAGTGAATTTTAGCACACTAGAAGATAGGTCAGAAAAAACCCCATCCAGAACAAAGCAAATACAGATAAGAATGTAGGAGACACACTGGAAATAATAAAAAATATTTAAGTGGAATCTTCAAAGGAAAAGAGAGAATGAAGCAGAATCAATATATGAAGACCCAAAAATTCAAGAGGTGCTGACGACCCCAAGTAACATAAACGCAAAAGAGCAAAGAAGGGGGAGGGGAAGGGAGCAGAAAAAACAAAAACACCCACGCCAACGCACCTCCCACCAAAACCGCTGAAAACCCAAAAGAACGTCTCCAGGCAGCAAGCGCAGGAGTGAGACATGTGAACAGGGAAAATAAGACTGACAATGGGATTCCTCAAAGAAACTTTAAAAGCAGAAAGTAACTGGTTATCTTTAAAAGGCTGAAATCAGAAAACCGTGAAAATCCTACAGCCAGTAGAAAGATCCTTAAAAAATGGAGTCAAAATAAAGATGTTTTCATACAAAGATAAACTGTCAAATCTGTCACTACAGCTTGCTCTTCAAGTGCAATGACCGTGACCCCACATGGAAGGTGGGAGACGCGGGGAGAAGGAAGAGCTGCCAGAAATGCGTGTGCCGATCGGACGAACGCTGCCGCGAAAGCAGCGTAAGAGGAAATCACAACATCCTGCGGAGTTTAAGTAACAACACGTTACCACAACAGTTCCAAGTCAGGAGGGGGCTGAAGCCCAGGAAGAGGTAAATCTTTATGTCAGACTTTAAGTGCAGGGTATAGGTCGTGGTCTTTAGGGTAATTACATGAAGACAAGTACCAAGCTTAAACAGGGGGAAAGCAGATTAAAAATACTGAAGCGATCCAGAAGACAGGAGGGAGAGAAAAAGGAACACAGAACAGGCCATCAAGTAGAAAGGAAATACCAAGAGGCAGATGTAAACCTAAATATATATTTAGGAGTTACAAGAAAAAAACGAATACTCATCCAGTCTCTATTGCTACCTACCATTTACGCCACAACTCACCCCAAAAATGATCTTAAGGAACATACAACTTGAGTAGGCAGGAGACTGCCAGGAGGAAATAACATAAAAGGACACCTTCACTGCAGAGAAAGCAACAGGCACGACGACAAAGAGGCTCCGAGTGGCATGAGGAAGTGTGTTCAGTGTGGCTGCAGGTCAGGAAGCATGAGAAGGAGCTGCAGGAAACGCACCTGGAGAGGCAGCTCAGGACGACTGACAGCAAGAGCCCTGTGTGCCTGCTCACGAGTCAGGAATTGACCCGGAAGGGAATGGGGCATCCTGGATAGATTTTACGCACATGACATGGAATAGACTTGTATTTTATAAAGTCCACTCGAGTGGTTGCAGAGAAAATTAACCAGAGTTTGGAAGAAAGGGTCTAAGAAAGAGACAGTGGAGCAAGGCGATTAGTTAGGGACTGGCAGGAAAGATGATATGAGCCTGGACTAACACAGTGACTCGGGGGATGGAGAGCAGGGTACGAAGCAGCCATGGTGACTGGGTGCATGCGGGAGGAACTAAATGAAACAGTGCCACAATGACTGTCCCATCAAGAAAAACAAACGCCATTTAGGTAACTCAGCTTACTGCTGGTAGCAGAGAAGTGCTCTTTAAAACAAAAGGTAATGAAACAAGAAATACTTCTCTGAAGCAGGCCAGATATTTAGATCCGGCGTGAACAAAATCTGGAAAATCTAAACTGACTGCTTGGTAAGAATTAGAGAAAAAGTTAGCAGTGGACTTTCCTTGTTTAATGGCATCAGGCAATAACAGCCTAAGCATTTTAACAGGATTAAATTTGCTCAGCAAGACAAGCTTCCTCACAGACTGCCATATATGCCGAAGAGTAAAGTATAGGAGCCAGCACAAACAGCAACTGCCACTGACAACCTATTTTTAGAGAACTCAGGTATTTTTGTGGAGAAAAAAACTTACAATGTTCTACAGAAGTGCATCTTTCAAAAACTACCTACCTCCAAATTTGAGATGTATATTTCAGATTAACACCTAAATAAACACACCCAACAGGTATTTCTGTATTTAAAACTCCCAACACCCTTGCCGCAATGTCAATATGTAACGTTTAGTCTGAGTATTTGATTATATTAAGTTCCAAACTCAATACCTTCAATATCTAAATATTCCTTTTGAAGTATTTATTCTACTAAAAATCATGTCATACAAACCACTCCGCATTTTTAAAGTCTATATTAAGAACTAGAAGAACACTGCAAGGCAAATCAGAATTACACAACTGACCACAGAGAAAGAAAAGTGAAATAAGCGAGGGGAGCCATAAGAGGGTGTGGATCTTCAAAAAAAGCCCTTCCACGGTAGTAACTGCTCTTAGTTCCAGGAAACCACTCCCCTCTCAAATAAATTACAGGCAACAATTTCTGACAACTTGTTACAATGGAAAGAAAAATGCAAGCTATGGGAAACGAGGAAGAAAGAAAGAAAGACAAATCTACACTGATTATAGATGGTAAATCCTCTTAAAAAAAAGACGGAATTATCAATAGCAGCACACGCATTTAGTTGTATGACCATACTGTTACCAATGAACCACGAAATCTTACTTCTGCAGAGCCATCTCCTTCTGCTGATAGAGCTCGTTCAGAACCTCCACTTTCTGCCTCAAGGTGCTGCACTCAGCCTCTAGTCCAGCTTTGGCAGCCTCCAGGGAACTGCGATCATCTTCTAATTTCTTTATTTGGTCTGTAAGGATAAAACATTCGAACCTTGTGTGCACGCACAGGACCTGAGAACTTGCTGAGGGGGGATGCTAAGAGGCGTGAGAAACATGAAAGCAGGAAGCCATTCTTTATCTTTCCAGCGCAACTCTACAGCTTCCCAATATACGGCAAGTTCTTCTCAAGAAGCGACCCACCTTTCAGGTTACACTCAGTGGACATCGACGCTCTAAGCTTAACTTGTGAAAGTTTTAGATCCTCTTTAACCAACGATATTGCAGTTTGGGTCTAAAAATTGCAGAAGAGAAAGAAGTATTCTTAAAAGCGCAGCGCAGTAAGAAGTCACAGGCACTTAGGGGCTCGACAGAAAGGATTATACCCGAGAAACGTCCATCATCTGCTTAATTTGATTTTTCATCCTCTCACTCTGGTCACCTGAAAGACAAATGGCTTTAATCACTTCTTCCTCCCTTGCTTTTTAACTATATTTCCTTGATTTCCCCCAAACTGAACAATTACCATGTTCAAACATTCAAAATAAAAATAAATTAACTAATAGACTGATTAGACCACTTGATTTTTACGAGAACCACACACTTAGATTCAACAAGCGAATTCCCAGTTTGTACAATAAAAATGTTACCCATGTGGTGCTTGAGCAAGAAGGGACGTGTGAGGTGAAGCTCCTTCTTCTCTCTCAGCTCTACTCCCCATGGTCAAGTATCTTATTTACAAAGACTCCCCCACTCTGTTCTCCCCTTGAATCCGCTACCAGGTGTGGTTTAAAATCCCCACTATGCAAGCAATATCCAGTCTGGGAACCAGTGACTAGAAACACTGCTACCCTTTAGCCTCTGCTCTCATGGCCTTAGTTAGTTTGTGGCTCCCACCACCTCAGTACTCTTAAAACTGGTGGTAGGCCTTAAAACCACAGAGCTACAGACATGATGAGTGTTAAATTCAAATGTCATCTCCACAAAGCTGAGAAACAAGTTTCTCCCACTGACCAGCGTTCAGTACTCAGAGGTCTAAGACCTGACTAATGTTGCTCTAGCTCCAGGGTGCACATCTGGTTCTCAAAGGGATGGGAAAACAAAGTCAGTGTTCACTGCATGCCTACTGCTATACCACAATCCAGCAACGCGCCTCTGCCCAGTGCACACAGAGGGACAGACAAGTGCAGTGACGCGTCCACAACTCGATCGCTGAAGAGGAAATTTAGTCAGCCAAACAGGAGCATCATGTACTTAATTAAAGACAGGAAAGCAAAAAGAGGTCCAACTTCCCTGAAACCAGTCTTACCTCCCACTTCCCCGTTTGCTAATTCACCTGGCTCATTTCCTCCTTTATTTTGACCCTCAGGTTCAGATTCACAATCTATCCGATCCAACTGTGTAATGCAATTAACCAAAGCCTAGAAAAGAAGCAAAATGGTATTAGAAAGAGCCTCTCAACGTTAATTAAGCAGATTTCTTGAGAATTCATGAGAATTAAGCCTGTATTCAAGAGAATGAACTTACATCAACCTTATCATCTTTGTGAGTGACAGCCATTTCCAAATCTTTCTGAGACTTCTCAAATGACTGGATTTGCTCACTGAGTTCAGCATGCAATTTACTCCAGTCTTCGATTTCCTGCTGCAACTGAAAAGTTAAAACACATGAATTTCCAAAGGTTAGGGCTTTCACACAGGAGACATCAGGACCACATGAACAAGACAGGGGAGCAGGGAGCCATGATCCTCTCTGGCCTGTCACCAAGGCCTTGGTTAAGGCAGAGGGGAGAGGCTCCAACCCTCAAAACTGCAGCGAGAACCTAAGAGCTGTCAGGGAAGCTGAACCAGCCTACTGCATCCTTCAGAAAATGATAGCCTACTCAAAGAATCCACTTCCAGGAGGAACAGAAGGGCACGTCTCACTGTCTGCCAAGTCCAGACTCCAGAGCACGTAATGCTCCCTTGGTCAGTGAGGCATTAACTGCTCAACGGAGAGTCATAAAGACCTAATTCTTTGGTCTAAGAAGCAAATCCATTGCCCACTTGAGGCTATTCAAGTTACTAAACACTCTGATAGCTACAGGAAATTGTACAGAAGAGCAGAAATCCAGAACAGATGGAGAATGTATACATGCAATTTAGGGAGCGTGGTTTAAACTTTGCGTACCTAAGAATAGAATACTGCATACATATTTCATTTCCTTAAAAACAGATCTGAGAAAAGACACTCAAGAGATGATGATACTCAGTTCTCTAGTTTACATAATCTATGACGTTGACTTTTCTTTACCTGCTCTTTCTTCTTCTTAAGTTTAGCATTTTCTTCCTGAACCCGAAGGCATTCAGACCTCACCTTCTCTTCACTGAGTTTAGCTTCATTAAGAGCAATCTGAACCTAATGCAAAACACTTCTATTAGTGAATTAACTCCAAAGAAACACAAAAAAAGTTACACTTTCCCAATTAGACATCATATATTTTTCATTTTTTGCATATTCTAGCACACATCAAATGTGTGCTCCTCAACAAAACTAAGACATTGTATTAATATTCTGCAGGAACCGCAGGCCGCTTTACCTCAGAAAATTCTGAAGCATTCAGTGAAATAACATCCTTTAACTTCTCTATAGACTTCTTGTTTTCCGATATCTGTCATGTGGAAGAAGGACATAAAAATGTATTAGGATTTCAGTAGAAACACTGGGATATATGCCAAAAAGAAGAAACATTAACAAAACATATCCCAGAGCCATCCTCTACATATCAGGTAAAAGCAGGTATCTACTTTTAGCCTAAGGAAAACAGTCAAGAATATAAAGGAAATGAGGAAAGAAGAAAATAATTGGAGGCATAACTATTGCATGCCACCTACAACCCTCTTGGCTATGAGATAATGTGGTAGATGACCAGACAAAAAGGTGAAGCAAAGAATATGAAAATAACTTTCAAGTAAACCAGTTCAAATCCATGGTTTTCCCTAGCGGTAGAAGGAAAAAAAAAAAACCCAAATCACTGTAAAATCTCTTTTGCCTGAACTAAAAATGGTGGGAGGTGAGGGAGAATACACAAATCTCACGTATAGAAGAATTCCAAAGAATTTATGAAGATACTGCCTCCGCAAGGAGGAGGAACGTACTCTTACCTCTTTAACTGTGGGTCGTGTACAGTCACTTCCTTCCAAAGAGGACAGTGTGCAAAGGTGGAAAACGGGTCATTTTACAGTTGAGAAACCTGGCAAATGCTACCTCACCAGGTGATCAAGCCTAACCGGGTGTGTGACATATGGGAATCCTCTCTCCTCTCGCTGCAACTTTTATGTAATTCTAAACTGTTCTGAAATTAAAAGTTCATGGAGGAAAAAAAAACACGCAGAACAAAACAAAACAAAGCACTAGAACTGTTCGGCTCGGTTATGTTTCTCAGCCGTTCTGTGTGTTTCGGAGGGCAGAACAAAGTAATTTGAAAATTACCCAGGGCTGAGGACAAAAATACTTCCTAGGACCATTAAAATAATAACTTGCTGGATTAGCATTTAAAATTCCATAAAAATGGACAAAAGGAGGTTCAACTTCCCTGACTCCCAAGCCTGCTCTAGTTAGGGCATGGGAGATGCAGAGTTCAACCCATCCAGTCTTGAAAACAGTGGGCAAGCCAAATTACAGTAACACTTAGCAGCAAAACTCTTACCAAGTCCTGATTTTTGGCAATCTGTTCTCTCTCAGATTCTAACATAACATGCAGATTTTTAGCTGTCTCATCCAGAATTCCATTAGTTTCTTCAAGGTTCCTGATTTTATCCTATTAAAAAATATATATTAAGATTATTCATAATTACTCATCATTTTTTTTTGTTTTTAGAATGTAATATCAAAGAGAAGGGATTTTTACCTTAAATTTAATGGCTTCATCTGAGAGAATCATATTTTGTCTCTTGGTTTCTTGAATACGCTTCTTTGATTCCTTGATCTATATAAAAATTAAAGCATTTGGAATTCAAAAATATAAATTAAAGTCTATCAAAACTTTATCTCCAGGTAGGTGACCCTTTAGGGAAAAATGTAGTTCTTCACACATATGACGATTGCTTCAGATGTGGATGGTTTGTAGGTAATAATGAAATTTAAAAATATGATTTCAAAATACTGTAATAACTGAACTAAAGACAAGAAGAAATAATTCAAGCTGGAACCACAGGGGAAAAAACTAAAAGAATAATTATACCTTCTGTTCATAATTTGACAATTTTTGTACAAGTTCTGCATTTTCTTTGGTGATAGTCTTCAACTTCTCAGCAATTTGCTGTTCAGTGACTAAAAAGGGGGGAAATCCAGAAGATTATTAGGATCACTAATGAAACTGAATTACCCAATGTATTAGCAGCAAAGACATGCTATCTGGCACTGTGAGGGAAAGGAAGTTCTTAGCATAACTATCATGCCTTTAAAAAGCAATCTAGAGTTAATAGCTAATAAGGTTGTAAAAATATTAAAATTTAAAAAAAATATAATAAGAACCCTTATTTCAACAAGATTCCAATTTAAATGTATTTCAAAGATAGTAAATACAGTAAAATATTTTAGCTCCATTCCTTCCCCTCTTGAAGCAGTTTTCTTCTCAGAAAATGTGATCATTTCAAGGATATGTCATTTGCAAAGAGAAACAGACAGAAAATACAAGCATATTGATTTACATCTCTGTTCCTCAAATTACCTCCTTAAATAAGTATACACTACACTATTTAAACTATCAGCACAGGAAGACCGTTCCCATGTAATAAACCTGCGTTACGTCAACATTCAAAGCCCGTCTGCCCAAAATTAAACTAGTCATCTTCTTCCTACTCCCACAATTTGTTCTACCTCGTCTCCTATCTCAGCTGGTAGCATCACCATGTACTCTGTCATCCCAGGTAATAACCTAGGATAGGTAAACCTTCTGGAGTTAGTAAGTTGATCAGACATCGTAAGGCACTGTATCTACTTCCAGCTTACATAAAACTCATATTGAACACCAATACTGAGGAAATAGTACAAATAACAAAATAAGTTCAATATTTACGTTGGTATATTCTATTCTTTACCTAAAAGAAAGAGAAATAAAATCAAGCTTAAATATTTACCTTGGTACATTCTACTCTTAACCTAAAAGAAAGAGAAATAAAATTAAATTTGATGTCAAAACTTTTTATTAATAGAAACAGTACATTTCCTAATACAACAGTCAAATTATAACTAAATGAAAATTTAACAAGTTTTGTTCAGCATAATGATCCAAGGATAAAAAATAAGGTTAAAAAGTATTTCAAGGGGCTGGCCCCGTGGCCGAGTGGTTAAGTTCTCGCGCTCCGCTGCAGGCGGCCCAGTGTTTCTTTGGTTTGAATCCTGGGTGCAGACATGACACTGCTCATCAAACCACGCTGAGGCAGCGTCCCACATGCCACAACTAGAAGGACCCACAATGAAGAATATACAACTATGTACCAGGGGGCTTTGGGGAGAAAAAGGAAAAAAATAAAATCTTTAAGAAAAAAAAAAATAAAAGTATTTCAAATGTAATCAGTGATACTTCATAAATAGTTTCTGATAGACAAAAGCACTAAGGTAAATACCTCATTTTGCAACTAAAGATATGTTTATATATCTATTAAATGAGCACCAATCTTATTTAAAAAGCACTCAACTTTAATAATGAAAATGGATATGGGGTCAGCCCTGTGGCCTAGTGTTTAAGTTCTGCATGCTCCACTTTGGCAGCCTGGGTTCGGTTCCCAAGTGGGGACCTACATCACTGTCGGCAGCTGTGCTGTGGCGGCAACCCACATACGAAATAGAGGAAGATGGTATGGATGTTAGCTCAAGGCAAATCTTCCTCAGAAAACAAGAGAAGGAAAATGGATAATATTTTCATATTAAAATATACTAACGCTTCATTACCTGAAATTTATTTAAAAACCCCAAACAGCCAGAATGATGTCTAGAAACAAGGATTGTTCAAAAAGACTTTGAGGAAACAAAATTAAAGGCATAATCTTTGTACTAAGATATGCCTCCTTCTCTAACCAGAAAACATCTTAGAAATCCTATTTAAAATTGGCCACTGGCTGAATTTAGAAATCTCATAAGCTAGATCTTCTGGTTTTCCCAAACCCCTAAAAACAGTGGTCATTAACGTGGAAGGGAGAGGAGACTACTAAAGGAAAATGCACAAGAAACAAGAGAAATGATAGCTAACATCTAAATTATCTCCTAAAGACAACACTGAATTATAGGATAATGAAACCTAAGCAGTACTCAATTTAAAAAAAAAGTATTACTAAATGTCTTTGTAACCCAGAATTTACTTCCCCTTTCAATGATTAGATATGGGGATGAGATACTCAGATCAGTCCAAACATCATCCACAATATCTCGATATTGAATTACAGTCTCTAACACCACTCACAATAATGTTGTTATAGGAAAATGTATTCCAAGTTTCCACGGGGAAAGAAATGACTATTTCTCTAATGTCACAGCCTTGCTAATGAGAGAGGAAGCTTCCTTTGCCCTCCTTTCACCCAAATCAAGCAGCAGGAGAAACAAGAAGCAGCAGCAGGCAACTGAGAGAAGGGACCAAGGTTCCAAGAGTTAAGTGCTGAGGCTGAGAAGCAGCAGTGGGGGCACAAAGCCCGCACAGCCTTGTGGAAATCTACACGGGGGCCAGAGCTTCTGAGCTGGAGAAACGAGAGCGGGAAATGGAAAACAATTTCTTTTTGACCCCTCCCATTCAGCCTTTCTGGTCTCCCTTTTTCCCTCTATCTGAGGAAAAGCCCATGAGGTTAGAGGAGACTTCATAGGAATCCAAGCAAAAGACGCTTCTTTTTCAGTGATTTTACAATCACTTGTGCAAAAAAAGAGAGTTTATTAAGAATGATATATGGCTGACAAAATTAAGAAGTCAGAAAAAGAATACTCAATTCTAGAAAACTATGCATGCAATGCTTCTGCCCACTTTAACTGTTAAGCTTCAACCGAAACTGAAAGCTTTTCCTCTGCAAAGTTCATTTACACCGTATCAAGTTTTCGCTCGAATACATAGTTCCATTGAATTCCTTATACAGGATCTTCAATGCACGATTGGTTATTTCTTTAAGATAGATTACTAGACACGGTATTATACCGTATAAAAGGGTGCAAACATTTTAAAGGCTTCTACACATTATTAAGCTGCCTTTCACAATGGCTGTTAAGAAGTCCTAATTCTACAAACAGTCAAATCTTTAGGTTTTGATAGAACAGATTTATAAATTGAAGTTTTCCCACTGAGATAATATACATGTTGTCTTGTTCACTTATGTCTTTACCAACAAGGATTACACTGAATTATTCGCCAAGGTCAGCTTAGATTTTAAGTATTAATTTGTGTTCATATTATTAACTGAAAAAAAAAGGGGGGCCAGTGATTATAAAACATCCCTTGTATTTCTGAGACAACATATAAGTTAATTTAATTTACTCACAACAAGGATGGTTCTCCAGAAGAAAATGGCAAATGAAACAATTCCTAAGGAGGCAGTGATAAGCACAGGCTTCCATGGCAGGCCATAACAATCGGGTCCAGGCTGAACATCATCAGGCAATGTAGCAAGTAGCTGAAACAGAAATGTTTGAAATAATGGGAACCCATAAAGAAACTTACAATAAAGCAGTCACAAAGAATCATCCACAGAAATTCTAAGTCAACCTCCATCAGGTAACTGCTCCCTCAAAAACCTCCAATAGCTCCCACTGCTTCAATAAAGATAGGATACTGGCAGCCTCGTATTTCTTGTGCAGCTTGAGGTCTTTTTAAACATTAGGAATCTAAATGTCTCTAAGTTGAGGATATATTTCCAGTTTGCAATGGGTCCTACCACATCATGTTGTCTAACACATGGCTGGACTCCCTCTGGTGCATACTTTTCTCTTAGTTGATTGCTATGACTTAAAAAGTCATAAAAAAAATCAAAAAAAGATTGAAACATACTATGGAAGGAATCAACTCCTATGGGGGCAAATAAAACCAAAATGATGATAACTAACATAAACACTGCACTTTTCCGCTAAGACTTTAAATCTTAATTCTATTCTACTCTTCCATAAAGCCAAATGCTGAGTACCTTCAGACACCTCGCGATCACTAGTCTAGACTACTCTGGATTTAACTGTCTTCTACAAAACTCAACGCCTTGATTTTAAATGCTTCCTGGAAGACAGCGCATTCAACACCTGCTTGCTTCTCCGCTGTTTTCACCGCGCTGTGCAACTACACAAGTATCTGCCATACCAGCCCCATCCCCCAACAGTGCCGATCACTGGAAAAGGACCCGCAGGGGACGGGATGCTCGCTGTTTTGATGGAGACTGCATACCACAAAGTAACACAGTGCCTGATACATCGAAAGTGCTCAATAAAAAATGAACAGGTGACGAAACCTCAAACACACTGCCACCGGCCTCGCTACACAGCACTGCAGCGTCCCGCCTGCCTCGGGCCTCACTCACTCCGTCTCTCCCTCGCCCGGGCCGTCGGTGCACCCGCTCGGCTCGGAACTCGGCCACCCGCCTGCCGGCGCTGGGGTCCCTCCCTGGGAATGGGGGCCGTCACCTCCAGTAGCTTGGCGATGAGGGCTGCGTAGAGCACCGACAGGGGTCCCAGGAGCTCCGGGTCCCCCGGGGAAGCGGTGACGGCAGGCACCGTGGCAGGTACTGAGTCCATGGCGTGGGGCCAGCCGAGCGGACGCGACGCTTCCCCGTGGAACGGCACCGGACCCCCACTCTGTCACCGCTTCCGCCTTCGGAAAGGACCCGGCGCGGGCGGCGGATCCGGGGGCGAACTTCGCCTTCCCCCGCCGCCGGCACTCTCCGCCCCCAGCCTCCCGTCTAACACGTCATCAGACACGGCCCCCGGCGGACGTCAGCGGCCCGCGGTGGGCGGGGCCAGAGCGGAAGGAACCAAGGGCGGGGCGGCGCGGGGGGGAGGCGCGAAGAGACCTGCGCGGGAGAAACCAAGGGAAGGGAGGCTCCCCCGTCGCAGGCACCCGGAAGGCGCGCGCGATTCAAAGGGCCCGGGAGCTAAGAGCAGAAGGAGGCGGAGGAGAAGAATGGGCGGGGGGTGGAGGACAGGAGAAAGGCCCGGCCGCTGCCGCCCGCCCCGAACTGGCCCCTTCCATCACAGGGCGCTGAGACCCCAGGCACAGGCCCTGAGTGCCCTGGCAGCAGAGGTGGCGCCCCGCCCGCTCTCGCTGGAGGACCACCGCTCTGCCTGGATGCCCTCCTTCCCTGCCCACTCAGTCCCCGCTCACTTTTCTCCTTCCTGACCTCCAGGTGCTCACACCGTCTCTCACCCTTGCTGATGCCCCTTTAAAAACCCTTCTACGGAGTCACATCATCACCACACCTATGCTAAGGGTTCAGTTCTGGGTCCCACATTGCATGTTTACATGAACTTGTGGAAAAGGACGAGGATTATTAATAGCCTGGAAATCACGTTCCAAAAGTCGAAGAAACTGGGGACATTTAACCTGGGGGAGAAAAGATATTCGCAGATCTTTAAAGGGTATGTCTCCGAGTTGAACATAAAGTCAGTTCCGAAGAACAATCAAGCAAGAACAAGCAGAGAAATCCTGAAATAGAAGAGCAAGGGAGGTTGGGTGGGAGGGGAGGCGAAGGCAGGCTCTGTAATTAAAACAGCACTGGCCCAAGAGTACAGACAGACCATGGAACACAACAGAAAAGCCAGAAACAGACCCAAGTGCATAGGAAATCTGGGATACACTAAAAGTCAGCTGGGGAAAAATAGACTTTTTATAAAGTGATGTTGGCATAACTAAATAACCGTATGGGAAATGACAAAATCGGATCTTCTCACTGTTCACAAGGATAAATTCCAATTTACATTCAGATCACAACCTAAGGGTAAAAAATGAAAACAAACACATACTAGAAAAAATATGAGTGAATTTCTCAATGTATTATGAGTGGGCCAAACCCTCCTAATTATGTCTCAAAATCCAAGGGAAAAGACTTATAAACCTGATTACTTAAAAATAAAAAATCTGTCCAGCCCTTGTATGCAAAAAATGCAAAAGAAGCAAAGTTTGACAATGACAATCTGAGAAAAAATATTTGTAACATATTACAAAGGGTTAACATTCCTAAAATATGAAGAACTTTACAAATAAAGAAGAAAACAGCCAGCAAACCTATAGAAAAACGGGCTGAAAAAATAAATAGTTCATTCTCAGGAAAAGAAATAGGAATAGCTCACAAACATATGGAAACGTGCTCTGCCTCACTCATAATAAAAGAAACACAAATGAAAGCTACACTGAGATACCATTTCCCAGTCATTGGCAACAGCCAAACATTTGACAACATACTCTCTTGGTGAGAGAATGTAGGGGAAACAGGTACTCTCATATATTGCTGATTATTATACAAAATGACACAACCCCTATGAGCAGGAATTTGGCAACATCTGCCAAAATTACCTGCATATTCACCTATTGATCCAACAATTCCACTTCTAAAGATCTATCTCAAAGATACTGGGGATACAACGACAGATGCTGAACAGACATATGCACAAAACTATGTTATTCCAGCATTATTTTTAACAACAGAAGACTGGAAATAATCAAAATGTCCACCAATAGAAGAATTGTTGAATACACTAAAGTACTATGAAACCTGGAAAAAAAGAAATCAAATAATTCTATATATACTGCTAGGGTATGGTTTCCAGAATATGTCTTTTTTTTTTTTTTAAAAAAAAAGGAGTGGAGAAAAGTATACTATACTACTTCTATCTAAGAAAGGAGAGACTTTTTTTTATGGCTTTGAGGTAAAATTGACATGCAATAGACTACACGTTTTAAGTGCACAATCTAAGTTTTGACTTACAAATACATCTGTGAAACCATCATCACATTCAAGATAATGAACATATCCTTCACCTCCAAAAGTCCCATGCCCTTGGTAATCCCACCTCCTGCCACTTGCCACCCCTCCCTCCCCGCCCAAGCAGAATTTCTGTCATAATAGATTAGTTTGCATTTCCTAAAGTTTTATACATATGGAATAATACACCATGTATTCTATTTCCTCTGGCTTCTCTCAACATAAGTTGAGACTCATCCATGTGCCCACATATATCATCAACAGGTCATTCCTTTTTATTGCTGAGTAGCACTTCATTGTACACAGTTTGTTTATTCTCCTCTTGATGGCTATTTGGCTTGTTCCAGTTTTTGGCCTTTACAAATACAGTTGCCATGAACGGTGATGTACAAGTCCGTCTATGGACGTATAACTTACTGATAGAGGGATACCTGGATCATTTGACAGGTGTATGTTTACCTTTTCAAGAAAGTGACAACTGTTTTCCAAGGTGGTTGTACCATTCTACATCCCCACCAGCAGTGTATGATGTTTCCAGTTCCTCCACATCTCCAACACTTGGTATAATCAGTCTTTTTAATTTTAGTCATTCTAGTAAGAGTATAGTGATAACTCATGGTGATTTAAATTGGCATTTCTCTGATAAGCAATGATGTTGAGCATTATTTTTAACATGCTTAAGCTATCCACATATTTTCTTTGGTGAAGTGTTATTTTACTGGGTTGTTTTCTTATTAATGAATTTTGAGAATTCTTTATATATTCTGGATATAAGTCCCTTATCAGAAAAATGCTTTACAATGATTCCTTCCTAGTCTGTGGCTTGTCTTTTCATTCACTTAACAGTGGATTTCAAGGGGCAGAAATTTTTATTTTGATCAAGTCCCAATTATCAATTTTTTCTTTTATGAATCATTTGGTATCAAATCTAAGAAATCTTTACCTAACTTTTTTCTAGAAGTTTTATACTTTTAAGCTTTACATTCAGGTCTACGAACCATTTTGAGTTAATTTACGTTTCTGATGTGAGGTATGGATCAATTTTTTGCACAGGAGTATTTCCAATAGTTCTAGTACCATTTATTGAAAAGGCTCCCTTTTCTTTGCTTAGTTGTCCTTTCCACCTCTGAAATCCACTGCCATATATGGATCTATCTCTGGGTTGTCTATTCCGATCCAACGGTTTATTTGTCTATCTTTACACTGATGCCATGCAAACCTACTTACTGTAGCTTTGTGACAAGTCCTGAAATCAGGTCATGTTTATGTTTTTCTAGGTCCTTCGCATTTTCTATTTGAATTGTACAATCAACTTGTCATTTTCCACCAAAAAGATCCTGCTGGGATTTTGATTGGGATCATGTTGATTCTAGTGATCAAACGGAGGGGCTGAATGATATCTGACATCCTGTTTGTCACAGTGACAATACGATAGCTTAATATGAAGTCTTCTCGCTCATCAACAAGGGATCTCTCCATTTTTAGGTCTTCTTTCATTTCTATTAGCAATATTTTATAGTTTTCAATTTATATGTCTTACAGTTTTGCCAGATTACCCTTAAGTACTTTATATTTTTTGATGCTAGTGGACTGGAAATTTTTAAAATTTCAATTTTCACTTATTCATTGCTAGTATATAGAAATACAACTGCTTTTAGATGTTAATCTTTATCTAGCAATCTTACTGAATGTGCTCATTAGCTCCAGTAGCG